CCCCTGCCTCTCGGGCGTTTTTATTTCCTTCCGTGCCGACTGCTGTCCTAAAACAGTCATACCCTTTATATCTGAGCGGGGACCAAAAAGTAAGGGGGGGGGGAGTGTGCGCCGAAGCAGTATATCTTACACCGTGTCCATCTGTCGTCCCCATTTTCTCTTCTACGGTAATCCCTTATCATCTACGGCTTACCAGAACACTTGGCAAAGATAGTCCTTGAGCTGTGCGCTACTTTTTGCGCTGACACCTCCTGCCCAAAGAAATGGTGGCATGAGCAGACAAATTAGTCTGTCCGTTTTCGGATAAGCGGTGAGGTTTCATCTGACATCCTGTTTCATAACAGGCCTCACATTTTTCCCAAGGCTGAGTAGCTCTCGTTACTCATACAATAAGTCCTTTCAGATCTTCACGGTGTGTGTATTGAATGCTTATTTTTAGAATAAAAGGAAGGAGAAGGAGGGTAATTTTTGCCTATGGATTGTACGGGACAAGCAGACAGTATACATATAGGTTTCTGAAGACAAAAAAATGAGATATCTGCCGTTAGCAATAGTCACATTCCTCCACGCTTAGCGCACCAGGGCATGAGACTCTTTCAAACATCCGAGTGGGGGCTCTCGTGGCCTAGAGGTTAAGGTGTTGGCCTCTCATTCAAAGGTCCCGGGTTCGAATCGGTATAGCGACCGAAAATTTGTCGTCTCTAAAATTGTCTTCTTTCACCTCCTTTCCTGCTCTCTTTCACTGTTCTGTCGTCTGCTTTCGTCTCCTCTTTCTGTCCCCACCCTGTCACCTCATTTGCCCCCTCCCCTAGGCTCCTGACTCTTTATGCAGCCTTTCTACTGCTACTCCTTGGCTCCTTCTTTCTTCTTACTTCTGTCTTTCAGCCATACCCCTGATCTTCTGGTAGGATAGATCTACACCTAGCGTTCTCGGACAAGGGCGAAAAATCTCGGAGGGCCTGTGAGCAAGTTGCGAACGTTAAAGATCCCTTGGTGGTCTAAAATTGATAAGAGTAGGCTTCGGTCGCCACCCGCCAAAATTCAAAATTTCCTACCAATTGAAAATGTTTGGCGTGTCCCTCGCGCTCATATGACCTTATGCAGTTGCGAGCGCCGTAAAACACTTACCAAAACAAAAACAAGCATTCGAGTTATGAAACGGAAACGCGCCTTCAAAGGTGTATGGTTGGGCAGTGTTGATATCGTATAAATTTAAACACGACTTCACTCCTACATTTTCATTTGCCCCCCCCCCCCCTATACTTTCCCTCCCCCTGTCTGTCTGTCTGTCTGTCTGTCTGTCTGTCTGTCTGTCTGTCTGTCTGTCTGTCTGTCTGTCAGTCAGTCTGCCTGTCTGTCTGTCTGTCTGTCTGTCTGTCTGTCTGTCTGTCTGTCTGTCTGTCTGTCTGTCTGTCTGTCTGTCTCTCTCTCTCTCTCTCTCTCTCTCTCTCTCTCTCAAATAAAATAAATATTGCCTATTATAACCCTTTCAACTCACCTGAAACTACATTTTGTTCAGTTCAGTGCATATTTACCTGGGTAAACTCAAACCACAACCATACTCCAACACATTCAATTCAAATTTCTCCTTTTTTTTCTTCTTTTTTTTTACTGAAAACGTTGGCACAATCACCAAAGCGCGCATTTGTGTAAAATTAACTAGTAACAACAAACATTCTTCTTCTTCTTTTCTCCCCATAGAATCGACCAAGCCAATGAATACCGAGAGATGTTCCGCGCCACGATCCCAGCCGCCTTCCTGGAGGAGATCATCGTGCGCTGGCTGGAGATTTCCCTCCCACCCGAGTGCAAGAAGGCGAGCCCACCAGTGGCAGACTCCTTCCCCACGCAGCTGGACACTGGCGGGCCTCTGGATCTGATGGAAGGGACTGGCACGATCTACACGAAAAGCTTAAAGTCAAAACAGAAAAGAGAAGCAACGCAGGCCGGGGATTTGACAAGCGAGAACAGCGCAGACGAGAAACTCTTGTCGAGGGAGAAGCGGTTCCTCAACGGCATGACGCTCGGGGGCCCGCCCACGGGCGGCCCCAAGAAGGAGGTCAGCGAATCCGCACAGATGATGAACATGATGATGATGTTGGCGAAGTTTCAGTCATCACAAGCTCACAGGACCTATCGCAAGCCCCCGCAAGATTCCTCCATCTATGGAGAGAGGGTGAGCTTCGGCTCGGGTATGTACGGGGACCAATACGCCGGTTACAGGGGGAAACGAGAAGCCGTCGGGCCTGCAGCTGAGGGCGGGGCTAACGAGGTGACGTCAGATGGGGCAGCGCTTTCGAGAAAGAAGAGATTCCTTTACGGCGCAGGAGCGGAGCCAGGTGAAGGGCCGGCAGTCAATCCCATGAATCAGTTCATGGGGATTATGATGGGAACTGCGAGGGATCCTAACGGGAAGAAGATTGAGTTTGGAGGAGACTACATGAAGAGGATGATGAGAAGCAGCTTTATGGCGTCCACTGGGGTTCAAACCCCACCCGGCAAGGAACCAAGTGACTTTGTAAAGAATATGGCGCCCATGTGGTAAGTATAATAAGTGTCATTGTTTTGTTCTCATTGCTAGGTCAACCAGTGTTTGTTTTGTTCTCATTGCTAGGTCAACCAGTGTTTGTTTTGTTCTCATTGCTAGGTCAACCAGTGTTTGTTTTGTGGTGTAACATTTAGGCACTTGGTCGCCGAACACACATAATGCAAGTTCGATTCCCAAGCAGTAAAGATTGATTTTTTTTTTAAATAACAATGTCAATTGAGTATCTTCGCCTGTCTTCATGGACGTTGCATCCGTCTCCGCCATATTTGGTCCTGACAGACAGAGTCTAAGCAGCCCGCCTTTTTAATGATCAAAATAATGTTGATGGGGACGTAAATCATTTATAGCTACAATTGCTCGTTCATCTCTGTCTTACTTACCACTCTCGCCCCCTAAATCCATGTTATATATTTGTTTACTCTGAATATCATCACTATGTCTTGAGCAGGAGCATGCTACGCCCTTTTCAACAGAACAAAATTCTCCATGAAGCCGAGACTCAAAATTCAATTCTCAACTCAGATAGTAGATAGGAGAGTGCTAAGAAATTACACAGCCTCGAACCCTGTTCCTACCCGCCTACCCCTCTACCCCCCCCCCTCTAAATAAAACTTTAAGTGCAGTAACACACCATACAGAATTCGAACGAGGGACATCCATGCATGCCATAGCCCAGCGTGATTAAAACTGACCTATCGGCAAGGCACGTCTTGGGTGAAAACGTCTTCCATCTATCTCGTTGCCATAGTATTTCTGGTGTCAATTTCAGTGACAATGAAGATTCAATGACAGTGATCACTTGCAACAATCATTAACTCTACGGGCTTTTTACCTGAAGAATTTCTTTGATTCAGTTAATTTCGTTTACACTCTTCGAGTTCGTTGAAATGACAAAAAATATTTTGGTCGTTTTTAATCTCTTGCTTTCTATCTTCAAGCTTAACATCTGTTACCTGTATCGTAGAACTAATTCTTCTTTTGTGGTGACCATGTTGTTGTTGGTCTAAATAAGTCAAAACCTGACCGTTTGCACCCTGGCTACCAATTAGTCAAAATGATTTTGTACCTTTAAAAAATGTTGTTTTTTTCCTTTTTGTTGTTTTGTTTATTTTTACTTCAGCAATTTAAAAACTCGGCAAAACACCTACTGGAAAAAACAGAATATTATGGTAAAACGAACCTGTAAACATAGTCGAAATTTTAAAATCTTGATTTTTTTTCAAAACCTCAACCTCTGCAAAATGACTTCAGTTCTAAGATAATGATGCTGACGATATACATGTAACGTGCGATCTAGTCTTAAGTCAACTGAGCGAACGGCACGCATACAGATATTGACATTGATGAGAACGGAGAAAAGTTGTCATGGGTTGTGCCAAAATGAAATTGTTCAGGTATAACGACCCTTGTAACACTGAAGAGTTATTTAAGAAGGCGAATCTCCGAATTCAATGTCCATCTCTGGAATTGTGAAATGGTGAGTCTATAGGTTAACGCTCCTGTTAGGTTATTTAAGAGGCGGGGCCTCCGAGTGCAACGTCCATCTCTGAAAAGACCTAGACAAGTAGAACATTCGTGTAAAGTGCCTTTCCCAAGGACACAACGTCGGACCGAGCTGAGGCTCGAACCCCTGATCCCGCAATCTTACGATTACAAGTCTGGTAACCTAACCACTAGGCCACCGACACCACCGTCGATCTCTGATAAGACTGAGCTGAATGGGAAATTTCGTGTAAAAGAAAATTAATGTCTGTTAAAAGGACGCAACGTCGGGCAGGACTGAGCTTCGATCCCCCTGACTCCCCCTGACCTGCAATATCCCAGTGACGAGTCCAGTAGCCTCACCAAAAGACTACCGATGCCTCTGTCGTGTTTTGAATTAAGAGAGACATTAATAGTGACAGTTTCTACCCTGGCCACGCAAAATACATCCTGTCGTGAACCTCATAATAATTATAGACTCTTTCTGAAGACATAATATGGGTGCGGGCAGAGCTTCCTTGGAAGTACATGCATTTCAACACAGACAGAGAGACAGAGACGGACAGACAGACAGACAGACAGACAGACAGACAGACAGACAGACAGACAGACAGACAGACAGACAGACAGACAGACAGACAGACAGACACACACACACACAGACACACACAGACACAGAGAGAGAGAGAGAGAGAGAGAGAGAGAGAGAGAGAGAGAGAGAGAGAGAGAGAAAGAAAGAGAGAGAGGCAGTAAGTACAGCCACCAACTATCAACATCTTCCTGTCAAAACAGTTTGTATCTAAATAATCTAACCTTCCATTTCCTCACACTGACACAATAAGGATCATTTAGTGAGGAAGGGGGTAAAACAGACAGAGAGGAGATCTTTAAGGCAAACAAACAAATAAACAAACCGCGTTGGTCACCTCGAACAACCCCCGCTTTTCTTTTTGCTGAATTCAGTATACCAATTCTTTCTACTAAATACAATGTAGGCCTATCAATCTAACATTCCCTCTCCTCGGCTGTGCCCACAGGTACTTCTCCAGCATGCAGCGTGCTATGAGCCCACGGATGCCGATAAAGGATCCAGGTGACTACCCGGCTCTGGCCGCCGCCTCCACCCCGCCTCTCCAGAGACTCAACAGAGACGGTTTCTATGGCGACAGATTGCCGGGCAAAGGCAGGAAGAAAAGATCTTCAGACGACAACTCAGACAGCAGCAGTAGTAATGATGTGGTTACGTTCGGGGACGTCACTGTTCCTCTTGATTTTTTCAAACCTCCTGAGCGGTCTGAGAGCTCTGCGCTTCCCACATACTTCCCACCACGCCCACCTGTGTACAGCACATATTTCAATCGCCCCTTCGCCCCTTCCCTTCCCCGCAGAAGTCTTTATTCGTCCCCTGCCTCCCCGTTACCTTCCTGGCAGAGATCTTCGTTTGGAAGACCAACACCGAGGTTCTCGTACGCTTCTCCTCGTTTCGGCAGCAGCCCGCCATTACGCACTTCCGGCGGATATTACCACGGCCGGAAGAAGAGAGCAGCGGAGGGCGGCGGCAATAATGACGTCATTACAGTCGGAGACGTCAGCATTCCCGTTGATTTCTTCAAGCCACCGGAGAAATCAGACGACAGGAAAAGATTCCCGCCCCGCCAGCCAGCACAAGTCGTCCGCGTGTACACGCCCTACACCCAACAACAGCAGCAACAGCAGCCGGCCTACAGCAACTACCACAGACAGCAGCAGTACTACCAGCAACAGCAGCAACAGCAGCAGCAGCAGCAACAACAACTGCTTCTGCAGCAGCAGCAGAGGCAGCTGCTATTTCAACATCAGCAACTGCAGCAGCAGCAGCAGCAACTATTGCAACAGCAGCAACAGTTCCAACAGTACCAGCAGCAACCCAGTCCGCAGTATAACAGTTACTACAATCAGAATAGTTACCCCGCTTATCAACAGAGCCCCGCCCAGTATTACCCTAGCTCCTCCCGAGTGAAAAAGAACCCCGCCCAGCTCAAGCAAAGACTCGCTGAGCTCTCTCAAATGTATGCCCCGACACAGCATAGATCCGCCCCCTCCCCGCCCCAGCAGTACTATAACCAAGAACAGAACCTTGTACAGCAACCGTATTACCCGGCCCCTTACACCCCTCAGACCAATCAACTGCCAGCTGCTACCAAACCTCTGCCACAGACACCCCCAGCAGGACGCCCTCCTCCCCCTCAGCAAAACTTCGCCCCTCCCACTCAACAAAACTACGCTCCCTCCCAGAATTCTGTTTTCCTCCCACCTCCACCCCCACCGCCACAAAACCCACCTCCATCACAAAACCAAGCCCCGCCCTACACAACACATCAGGCCCCTCCCCCTGCTGGCCCAGCTTCGGCCCCGCTAAATATGGCTCCTCCCATGTCAAATTACGGTCCTCCTCCACCACACGGTAGCCTACTACCAGCTAACCTCGACCCCTTTATCCGGCCACCCATCCAACCGACCATCCACCCGGCCACCCACCCAGCCCCACTCGGCCGTAAGAAACGAGCATCAGGAGACGACAATTCTGACAGCAGTAGTAGCAACAATGACGTCATCACTTTTGGCGATTTTTCCGTCCCTGTAGATTTCTTCAAGCCATCTGAGAATGCCCCGCCCGCTAGGGCCCCGCCCCCTCCTGTCTACATCCAGTACGTCCCTTACCCTTCCCTGAGACAAACCCCGCCCCGTCCTGCCTATTTCCCTCAGAGGTTCCCACCAGCAGCAAATCCCTACGGCTACTTCCCACCCCAGCCCCGCTATCCTCCTCCTAGATCACCTTACACGCCGTACGCTCCGCCCCCAGCCTTCGTCCCGCCCTATGCAGCACAAGCACATCGCCGCTACAAACGCTCCGACAACAAAGACAAGGGTGACAACTCCGCTAGCAGCTTCTTCCCCACCAGTTTCTTTTCTCCCCTTTTCTCCCCCTTCCAAACGTCCCCCCTTTTCACACCTCCAAGGGTAGCATCTCCCTTCTTCGGCCCGTCCCCTTTCTTCAGACCACCACGAGTAGCTTCCCCTTACTTCCCACCAAACCCGTTCCCCTCAACTCCGAACAAAATCGCCTACAGAAACCCCAGAGGTCAAGGGGTCATTTACGGTGACCGCATGCCCTGGGCACAGAGTCCAGCAGCCGGCGGACAACCTCGCCGACGTGTGAAACGATCAGACAACAACGACAACCCGGAGAGCAACACTTCCCCCAACTTCTTCTCCTCTCCTTTCTTCTCTCCCTTCTTCCCCTCATACCGACCTTCTCCGTATTTCTCTCCTTCCTTTTTCTCTTCTCCGATGACCAACAAAATCGCCTACAAAAACACAGGGGGCCAAGGACTCATATACGGAGACCGCATGCCCTGGGCGCAAAAGCCAGGGCCACAACCACTAATGCAAACATCCCCTGTTCTGAATCAGAGCCCACCTATGCGTCAGTCAGCGAATTCAGCGCAGACCTTGACCTCTGGAGTCACCAGCCCAGGGTCACAACCGTTGACCTCACCAGCAGCCCATCAACCACACAGGCGTTTCAAACGGTCCGACAACAAGGATAACAAAGACAGCAGCTACACCTTTCCCTCCTTCTTCCCCTCTCCTTTCTTCTCTCCATTTACTCCTCCTTCTCCTCCTTTGAACCCTTCCCGATTTTTCTTCCGACAATATCCCCCACCATCTAACAAGATCGGTTATCGCGGTGGTAGGGGTCAAGGTGTCATCTATGGGGACAGATTACCTTGGGCACCAAGGTCGCCACCTTTGACATCAGGGAGAGGACCGTTATACGCCCTAAGGAGGACGGGCTGATGTAATTACAATGTAAACAGTTGTTATAATTCGTATTCATGTTGCCAAACTCATATACTATGAAATATACCGTTTCTGTCGAGTTCATTTATTGGAAAGACGTTTGTGAAAAGTCCAGTAACAAAGAGTACTATCCTTCCCTTTTTACTTGTCCAAGGTCGCCTCTGAATCACTTCTGAATCAATAAATAGCCTACTGAATATTCTTCACCCCTGCCCAGTGAGGTACGCCATCCGTGTTGTCAGTTACATGACATGTCCAAATCAAATAGACAGTACCAAAAACATGACCGGCAGCAAAGAAATTGCCCGTCATGGTTTTTACTTTGTTCTGACGGTATACCCTCTCTTCAACGTAAAATAGTTCTTTAGTTCTTGGCGGGGTGGGGTGCGGGGGAGGGGGGGTGCTTTTACACCATGTATTAGAGCCAAAAAAAAAGGCAATGAAGAATACAACATCCCAACAAAAAAAGGAGCTACTCAGTAACACATAATAATATCTTTCCCCATGCATGAATTAAACTCACCACAACTGTGAAGTTATGAGCCCAACCATTTGAACCACAGGCGCAGATGCTAAGACTCATTCAATAGCTCGCATGGTTAAGTGAAACATAGACATATACAAAGTAAAGATTCAAACAGGAACCCCCCGAATTTATACTGACAACAGTTTACATCAGCAGTAACAGTCGCCTGAGACAGCCAAGCACTCCGAGTCCCAGATGACGACACAGTAGGAAAAATACAACGTGTCCTTGTGGCTGGTCGAACAAGAGAAGAAAGGACTCTGTTTAACCCAGATTGGACTCAGAAAATTAAAACTTAACCGTTTTTGCCCTGCTCTTGAAAACTACATAGAACAAAAACCTCATGATACAAAAAAAAAAAGAAATATGGCGTAAATATATATAAACGAAAACAGGAGACTGTTCAAACAATAACGCAAAAGAGGATGTTAGAATTTAAGACGACAAATTCCTTCCTGAGCAAGCAATAAAACAAATTATGCAACATAAAGCAACATAGAGCGAACTTTTCTTGCAACTCTACACACGAGCTCCATGAAAGTTGTTTAATAGATTTCTTACAGCTTTATCAGCTAAATCAAATTACAACTTACCATCTCAAGATTCCGTAGGAAGAGCATTGTAAATTATTTGTTGATGGACATCAGCAAGGTATGCATAATTTATAATGTTTTCGATGGTTCTAGCAGCACCTGAAGCTTCTATAGTTTCTTCTGAAGGAAATGTGAGTGAACGTTTCTTTTTGTTTTTCTTCTCTTTTTCAATCCATCCCTTCCAGATATGCCTTTATGTGGTAAAAGTTTTTCCCTTTGCATATATTATTATAACCGTCAGTTAGCGTTCATGATTCAGCTGACGACAGAGTTGTTCTGATTTGTTGTCATTGCAATCTTTGTTTCTTGAAAGTTTTTAACTGGACGGGGAATATTTTGAGGTGAGGAACAACTAACAGTTCGTTTGTCTCAGAAGTGGCAGGTTAGAGAAAGCGTTATCTGAATATTTCATGCTAACTTTAATAAAGCAAGCATTTTATAAAAAGTGTCAGGACTTCAGGACTGATTTGTCTTTTGATATGAGTTTGCTTCATTCTCTCTATCAATTTTATGTTGTGTCTATATGGGAGGCAGCGTGGTGGAATCAAGGCTCTCGTCAGTTTTTGGGCATGTAGAGTTATTGGTATCATCGTAAAGCTTGTTCACTTGTCTTTATATGGATGAAAAAAATATCCATTTATCTTGAATACAAGTCGAGATATTTGCAAATGAAAGATGTAGGGGTCACATGTTTTCAGAGGTAATATTAGTGACAAAATGGCCGCCAAAGATTAGTTATTTCCTTAGCTTAAGAGTCTGTGGTAACTGAAAATTTACATTGTGTGCCTTTAATCAACGTTTTTCAGAAAAATCCACACAAAAATGAGTTCTTTAGTGGGCATGAAAGGTGTTGAGCCAAAAAACGAAAGTTTGAAAAAAATTCACAAACCAACAGAAAAAAAGCAAGTTTCTTCACTCTGACTCTGATTAGTTTGACGAGAGCCTGATTCCACCGCGCTGCCTCATATATATACATTTTATGCTTTGAATTGATGACACTATTAAACCAAGCAAAAGACCCATGTATGTGACATTATGATTACATTCCACACAGTGACACGCAAAAAGGCACAAGTTCAATCCTCAAGTGGGCAAGTCATTTTACAGGGCATCCCTTCCGTCCACTGCGATGCTATACTCCACTCAGCGAGGGTCAGCCTTGACATACAAAGTCGAAAAAGCAAGCCTCTAAATTATCAAAATTTTGTCCCTAGAGGGCTTGGACTGCAGTAAACATTGCAATAATTGCAATCATTTCACTGTGAAATTTTACAAGCACGGGGCTTGATTTGCTAAAAGGAAACATTATTGACAAGAAAGGCTCCGAAGGAACTTGAAAAAGAAGGAACACACCTATGTATGAAAGGACAACAATTGCTTGTAAAGGGTTTCCTCAGACATGAAACTATAAAATGTTTAAAGTCAATAAACTTGACACCCTATTTTAATTTAAACTGTGATCCAAAGGTTATGGCAAACACTTCTAAAATAAAAATAATTACTTGTATTTTTTAAAAAGTCTTACATGTCTTAAAAGCAAATTAAATTTTATAAATCAAATACCAGTATTACTAAAACAAAACGTTGTCTACATGAAATGCAAGAGCACTTCTCTCGCAATGCAAAATGATGACAGTCAAGCTTCTTAGAACAATGTAACATTATGAGAAGCACTATAGAAACAATACGTTTGATGAGGTCAATTTTCAGCTGAAAATAAGGGAGTTGCAGGGTGATCTCATCATGTGCATGTTTTCGCAAACAGTGTCTGTGACATGTGAAGGTCGTGTTAGGGCACAAGACTCACAATTTATTTCTTTTGGCAGTAAACACATTTTTAAAAAATCATCAAACTCACAATCAAATTCAAGGATAAAATGATAGACTTTGGGTTTATTTACTTAATGAACAGCAGCAGCAAAATATTGTGCATCAAAACAGTCACCCATGACAAACAGTAAAACACAAGTAAAAACACCCCCCCCCCCCCCCCCAAAGGCTTTAGAAAAAATGAGTCATAGAATTATCAGTAAAATAAACTTGATGCTTACAACTCAAAGCCTTCTAAGCATATATCAGGTCTCCACTCTCTATGGGGCCACAACTGGGTTGCCATGACGTTATGCACAAATGTGGCACCACTTGGTGGAATCAGGCCCTCATAAATTTGTAAGTAAATATGGAGTTATTGGTATTTTCTGAAAGCTTGTTCATTTGCCTTGCTTTCTGTGAAAAAAATTTCCATCTGACTGGAATAAAATTTGAGATATTTGCAACTGAAAGATGTAGGGGGCGTCTGATTTCAGACATAATATTAGCAAGAAAATGGCCGCCAAAAATTTGGTCACTTTTTTGGCTTGAGGGTCCTCGGAAACCGAAAATTTATATTCTGTGTTCCTTTAATTAAGAGTTTTCAGTAAAAATCCACACAGAAATATGTTTTTGAATGGATATAAAAGGTGTTGAACAAAAAAGAAAAATTTGTTAAAATTGCCAAACCTGCTCTAAAAAATAGAGATTTTTAGATTTCATTATTTCAACAAGCATCTGAATTCACCACGATGCCTCACAAATGAAATTTGTAATTTACAAAATTTCCAGAGGAAGGGGGGGGGGATGGTGGTGGTGGTAACAAATCTATTGTGACAGAAGCATCTTCTCTTCCTATTAACTTTTACAATATCCAAACACGGTTTAGTTTCACAATGAAATAGAGCAGCATCTTTTAGGTGATAAGTATGCGATCTCAACTTTGACACAATCACAACAAGTAAGTACAGAATAACTTACAAGAAAGAGTCTTTCACACTGATTGCATCGAAATATTTTACTTTGACATAACTTTTAATCGTTCCTCTCCATACAATGACATACCCACATACCCACATACAGCTATAAAGCAATGGCCATACAACATATACACCACAATCACAAGAGCATTTACTATCTCTCTCTTTTCTGTTTCTTCTCTCTCTGCCTTTCTCTGCCTTTCTCCCTCTTTCTCTCTTTTTCTCTCTCTCACACACACACACACAAACACACACACACACACACACACACACACACACACGCACCATATTTACCCCACATTTCAGTATATATCTTTATTCTTTGTTAGAGTTTGAAAATCAGCGTCAGCTTTTGCCACGTCCAGTCGGTCTCCATGAAGTGGGAGAAAGCTTATGTACCCAGGCTGCATCAGCTGAGAAGGGTCTAGACTGTCATGATATTGGACCTGGTTGAAGAAAAAATTATAATAGTAATAACTATTAATAATTTTCAAAAAGTAGAAGAAGAAGAAGAACCTGCATCAGCTGAGAAGGGTCTAGACTGTCATGATATTGGACCTGGTTGAAGAAAAAATTATAACAGTAATAACTATTAATAATTATCAAAAAGAAGAAGAACAAAAACAACAACAAAAACAATAATAAAAATAATAATCCTAATAATAATAAGAAGAACAATCCTAACAATAATAATATTATTTTAATAATAATAATAAAAATACAACACTACTACAACTACTAATAATAATAGCATTTATGTAGCATACATCCATATTCTACAGCGCACTAGATACTTTATGTAATATACAATGATCATCACTCCAGCAGACCCAAGAACCCTCAGAAACATTCCCTGACTCCTGGGAAGCGTACAGAATCCAACAGTCAGATATTTTTTTTTTTTTTTTCAGTTCAAATGTTTCTGGTCCAACCCAAGACATAGACACAAAGAGGGCACTTCCTGCTTTTTGCCCCAAGAAGCTGTTTATTTTTTTGGTCCTTTTTTATTTCAATATAAGCATCAAAACATAGTGTCGGTGAATTATTTTCAGTTACTCAAAACTTTTGTCTAAAATAGTAATAGTATCTGGCGGGGGTAACTTATAGTATCTAACATGGCTTTGAAAACTAAGTAGCAAAATTGTCCTAAACAAGTGATATTTCGATTCAGACTGACAAAATTTATCCTTTCACCATCTTAAAGAACATTCATGTATGGACAACTTTTAAAAAAGTACATAAGTGCTTTACTAATAAGGACACAAAACGATAACTCTTATTTATAAGTTGACAAATGTGAATTTTAAAAAGATTAGTTTTTACTGTTTTCACTTCTAGACAATTTTCTACAGAGTGTCATAAGGACGAGCCTGCACAAGGCTTTCTGAAGTCTACATAACTAAAACGAAGACAGAGATCAGCAAAAGGAACCAAATAATAAACCAACGAAAAAACAAAAGTAATGCTGGGATTAAACAGGAACAAACGAACGCATAAGTAATGCTGGGGTCAATGTTCTAGCAAAAAATTAGTCCTGCATCTGTGATGTAGAGCTTAGGCATTTTGCAATCGCAGACGACTTGAATTCGCTTTATCAAGTATCCTGGTTTTTCTGCTGGAACACTGCATCCCTCTCAGTCCACGTTGGCCCTGACAGCCAGGGTCGAAGCCCGCCTCTTAAAGGTTCCCCATTGCATTGATAAGAAAGAAAAAAAGAATTTAAAAAAAGAAAAGAACAGATAAGCTAAAGAAAAAAAAAAGAAGAAAAAATAGAAAGAAAAAAAACTGAAGGGAGAGTCAACCAAACGAAAGCACCCACTGACCACCCACCCTGCAAAGAGGATGCATCTCACGTACCTGTTTGCGAATATATTCCACCATGAGAGCCAGTTTGTCTGGAGCAACGTCTGCGTCCTGACCAAACAGCTGAAGCCACAATGCATTGGCCAGCAGCTTGTCCGAGCTAAGGATGGCCTGAGGGAATCACAACCATTGCAACAAACTATAGTCAAAATTGTCCCGAGAAGGCTATTTGCTGGCAAGGAGAAAAGTGGCTGTCTTTAAACAGTGTTATTATAATAATATAATAATAATAATATAAATGGTAACAATAATAACAAAAACAATAATACAGTTGTAAGACGGAATCGCAAGGGAGCCAGAAAAAAATTTCGTCTTAGACAGGGGAATTTAGAAGGGGGGGTTCAAAGGCCCAGCCGGTGGGATCAACGGTCACTAGTCCGGTTGGCAAGCAATCGCAAGTGATCAAAACTTCACACCTCTCAGCTGCTATCCTCTCTGATAAAGACATGTGTCAGTCTTATACTTATCCAATTACTACCAGTGCTTGCATTTTAAAGGACCGCTGTTTTGGCCTATTAAAAACAGATTTACATTTGAACATCTCCTTTGCTTCCACCCTTAGCCCCACCCATAGGTGTAATAAGAACAGTCAACCAATGCCACCCCTTACTGCCATGTAACAACGATTCGAGGAACTCTTTTCTCGGCTGGCTGTACAATCTGGGCGGCAGGCATTGGTCAAACTAATTTCACACCTCTGGCCTCTGGCTACCAATTAAAGTTTCCGTGCTGGAGTGTAACTCGAGAACTTTCACTGAGCGCTCGTGAGATTTCACACCCACACCACCCTGATCATGTGCACCACTCAGGGCTCACACAGATCAGGTAACATCAAGGAGATTATACAGTTGTAAGGTCCTTGAGTAACATGTACCCTCAAACTGCACCCCTACTCCCTTCCCTCGCCAGGCGACATGGCGTTAAGTTTAGAGTTGGCGGAGGGAACCATACTTGCGAGTTTTGTTTCAAATCAGGGCTGAACGGGCAAAGCATTTTCTGTCTTAGACACGTAAAACCCTAGGAGGGGAGCGGATTTTTTTTTTCCGTTTCCGCGTTGGACAGGTTACCGTTTTATACAGGTAATTAAAGAGGAATATATCAAGGGGGCAGAGGGAGATTCCGTTAAGACAGGTTTTCGTTTTACATAGGTTTCCGTAAAAGCAGGTTCGACAGTAATAATAATAGTGTCAGTCTAATATAGTGGTTGGGGGGAGAGTAGGAAGTGGTCATTTGAACAGGTGATTGTCTTGCATATATGGCCACTAGAGCAGGTTCTATTGTATGAAGAAAAACAAAATAATATAGGATATGTTTTACACTCCTTTCAACACAAATTGTTTGTTTCTTAGGTGGCTTGGCCAAGTCAAGACAGTGGAATTTCCACCCAAATCTATAAAATTTTGATCATTTTGGGAGTGGGTTGCTTTGAACCTGATTGCCATTTTACAGGAGAACATATTTTCTTATGCTAAATTGAAAGTACTTTCACACATTGAAATTAACTTGGTGTAGTGAAACAGTAAGACACAGACAGGCATTTGGACAGACGAATAAGATAAAAGACCTGTATGTGTTGTCCTTCAAAGGAGTGCCTAAAATTAGTTGAAAGAATCATTCACATTGACAATTAGATCTACTTCCCTCCCCTCTTACTCCCAGGCAGCAAGTCTCTCACCTCATCATAATGCATAATGGACAAGACCATCATACTGTAGAAATTCTTCACAGCTTTGCGACGTTCGCTTCCCAGCATGTCCTTTAAAGAAATCAGAGACAGAGATGAAAGCATGTAAACAGACAAATTATGCAATCTATCAATAGAGATAATGCAACGTTTAAATTATATTTTCACTGGAAAAAATTCTATTTCTCAACATTTTTCTTTCAATCGTATGTGAGACAAAATAAGTTACTACTTCAATCACTGAATGAAGATATCAGGCAAAAATCGAGATGGGGTCAAATATGTTGATTTTTAACTGATGCTATATTTGTTTCAAGTCTTACATATCTCATATCCTTTCGTACTTACAAATTGGCCAAAATCTACTTATGAATTTAACAATTCTATTTCCAAAAGGCTAAAATCTGAGAAGTGACTCCTTTTGTTAGCCTTACATATTAATGACATCTCTATCTGACTACTGATATTGTCACATGGGCTACAGAGAAAACTGAAGTCTCTTTTCCTAAACATTTTGCATCTTCTCTTTCCATGAGGTAACTATGAAACAGCAGCTCAGACAAGAACAATCATAAAAGTTTTAACAAGAAATTGATTCAAAATGAACAAGTGTAAATCCTCTTTGCCCTTTTACGATAAAAAATACATGTTGTGTATTCCTTCTTAACGCATAGTCTAAGAACAGTCAAACCTTGTTGTACTGCCCCCTGTTGTACCGCCAGCCTCACTTACTGCCAGGTTTTGTCAATGTACGAAAAGTCCTCTATTCAAATATAGTATTTGCGCCTTTA